GAGGTTGAACTGGTGGGGACATACCCCTACAAAGGGAGTTGCTAGTGCCCACCATGCAGGAACACAATTACTGAGTCACTTGTCTTTTCCAGAGAGGCTAGAAGTCTGGGTTGATGCTGATGGAATTTCTTAAATTTTTCATCATTATGCAAGCCAAACAAAATTCTTCTGCTGGCTTGTCTACAAGTGACCTTTTCGCAAGCCCTGCCACTCATGCAATTGGTGATGTCTCAGAGCAGCAAGAGACGTTGGGCTTAAAGGTTCACCCAGGTTTGGGGAGGGAAGTGGGATGAGTTCTGCTTAATAATTTCTCACAAAGGGAGACATTCCTCACAGACCCCTTGGGATAATGGATATCCCAGTGGGGCCAGGATGGGCTGGGGTGGGGCAGTAGTGTCTACCTCCAAACGAGTCACAACATTAAAATACCAGTTTTATGAAAAAGCTCCTGAATGGCTACTGGAATGGAAACAACAGCTTTAGGAATCATTTGTACAGGATACCTCAGAGACCTTGCACATTTAGTTTCAGACCATTGCAACAAAGCAAATAACAAAAGAAAGCAAGTCAGCCAGGTGCAGTAGCTCATGCCTGTAATCCCAGCACTTTGGGAGGCCGAAGAGGGAGGACTGCTTGAGTTCGAGGGTTCAAGACCAGCCTGGGCAACACAGTGAGATCCTGTGCCCACAAAAACAAAGAAAAAATAAAATAAACTAGCTGGGTGTGATGGTACGCACCTATGGTCCCAGCTATGGTCCCAGCTACTCTGGAGGCTAAGGTGAGACGATCGCTTGAGGCTAGGAGTTTGAGGCTGCACTGAGCTATGATTGTGCCACTATACTCCAGCCTGGGTGATAGAGCAAGATCCTGTTTCCATAAAGTTAAAAAAAAAAAGTGCCAGGCGTGGTGGCTCACGCCTATAATCCCAGCACTTTGGGAAGCTGAGATGAGAGGATTTCCTGAGCTCACGGGTTCAAGACCAGCCCTGGCAACTTGGTGAGACCTCTTCTCTACTATAAATCAAAAAATTAGCCGGGCATGGTGGCACATGCCTGTAGTTCCAGCTACTTGGAAGGCTGAGGTGGAGGGATCGTCTGAGCAGAGACCGTGAGCATGCCAACTGCACTCCAGCCTGGACAACAGAATGAGACTCCGACGCAAAAAAAAAAGCAAATCACACAAATTTTTTTGGTTTCCCAGTGTATATAAAAGTTATGTTTACATTATACTACAGTCTATCAGGTGTTAAATAAAATTATACTTGTACATGCCTTAATTTAAAAACACTTTATTGCTAAAAATGTTAACAATCATCTGAGTCTTCAGTGAGTTGAAATGTTTTTGCTGGTGGAGGGTCTTGCCTCAATGTGGATGGCTGCTGACTGATCTGGGTAGTTATTGCTGAAGACTGAGGTGATTGTGATGATTTTTTTTTTGAGTCGGAGTCTCACTCTGTTGCCCAGCTTGGAGTGCAGTTTCACACTCACAGCCATCCCAGAGTCAACCTGCTGGGCTCTGATGATCCTTCTGCCTCCGCCTTCCAAGTAGCTGGCACTACAGGTGTGTGATACCACACCTAGCTAATTTTTTATTTATTGTAGAGATGAAGTCTTGACAAGTTGCTGGTCTTGAACCGCCGCGGCTCAGGCAATCCACTCGCCTCAGCCTCCCAAGGTGTTGGGATTACAGGCTGAGCCACCGAGCCCGGCCATGATTTCTTAAAGTAAGACAACATCGAAGTGTGCTGTATTGATTGACTTTTCCTTTCATGAAAGATTTTTCTATAGCATGAGATGCTGTTTGATAGCATTTCATCCACAGTAGAGCTTCTTTCAAAATTGAATTCCATTCTGTCATACTCTGTTGCTGCTTTATCAACTAAGTTTATGTGTGATTCTAAATCCTTTGTGGTCATTTCAACAATGTTTCACAGCATCTTCACCAGAAGAAGTTTCCATCTCAGGAAACCATTTTCTTTGCTCACCCATAAGCAGTAACTGCTGGGCGCGGTGGCTCATGCTAGAAATCCCAGCACTTTGGGAGGCAGAGGCTCAAGGATTACCAGAGCCCAGGGGTTGGAGACCAGCCTGGGCAACGTGGCGAGATCTCGTTTCTACAATAAATCATAAAGAAAAAATTGGACCAGGTGTGGTGGTGCACGCCTGTTGTTCCAGCTACTTGGAAGGTCGATACAGAAGGAAGGCCCAGCAGGTCAAGGCTGCAACGGCCGTGAGCATGCCACTGCACTCCAGCCTGGGTGACAGAGTGAGACTCTGAATCAAAAAAAAAAAAAAAGGTAACTTCTCATCCATTCAAGTTTTATCATGAGATTGCAGCAATTCAGTCACATCTCAGAACCCACTTCTAATTCTAGTTCTCTTGCTATTCCCACTGTATCTACAGTCGCTTCCTCCACTAAAGTCTTGACCCCTTCAAAGTCATCCGTGAGGTTGGAATCAACTTCTTCCAAACTGTTAATGTTGATATTTTGACCTGCTCCCATGAATCACGAGTGTTCTTAGTAGCATCTAGAATAGTGAATCCTTTCCAGAAGGTTTTCAATTGACTTCGCCCAGGTCTATCAAAGGCATTACTATCCTTGACAGCTATAGCCTTACAGTATATTTCTTAAAGACTTGGCCAGGTGTGATGTCTCATATCTGTAATCCCAGCACTTTGGGAGGCTGAGGTAGTGGATTGCTTGAGCCCAGGCGTTTGAGACCATCCTGGGCAATATAGCAAGACCTCATCTCCACAAAAAAATAAAAATAAAAAAATTAGCTGGGCATGGTGGCGCGCACCTGTAGTTCCAATTTATGGGGATGCTGAGGTGGAAGGATCATCTGAGCCCAGGAGGGCGAGGCTGCATGAACCGTGATCGTTATGATCGTGACACTGCACTCCAGCCTGGGCGACAACTTTCATGTCTCTGTACATTCTCTGTCTGAGCTCTTGGGTGACCAAGTGCATTGTTAATGAGCAGTAACATTTTGCAAGAAATCTTTTGTTTTTCTTGAGCACTGTTCTTAACAGTGGACTTAAAATATTCAGTAAACCATGCTATAAACAGAAGTGCTGTCATCCAGGCTTTGTGGTTCCATTCCACAGGTAGAATAGATTTAACATCACTTTTAGGGACTCTAGGATTTTCAGAATGGTCAACGAGCATGGCTTCAACTTAGCGTCACCAGCTGTATCAGCCCCTGATACAAGAGTCAACCTGTCTTTTGAAGCTTTGAAGCCACACTCTGATTTTTCTCTGGCTAGGAAAGTCTTATCCTAATAGAAAGCTGTTTCCTGTACACGGAAAATCTGTTGTTCAGCATAACTACCTTCATCTGTGATCTTAGCTAGACCATCTGGGTCACTTGCTGCAGCCTCCACATCAGCACTTGCGGCTTCACCTTGCACTTGTATGCCATGGAGACGTCTACTTTCCTTAAACCTCATGAACCCACCTCTGCAGCTCCCTCACCCCTCTCAGTCTTCACAGAATGGAAGAGAGGTAGGGCCTTACTCTGGATTAGGCTTTGGCTTAAGGGAGTGTTGTGGCTGGTTTGAACTAACCAGACCACGAAAACTTTCTTCATATCAGCAGTAAGGCTGTTCCACTTTCTGATCATTCGCATGTTCACTGTGGTAGCACTTTTAATTTCCTTCAAGAACGACTGCTTTGCTTTTGCAGCTTGGCTAACTGTTTGGCACAAGAGATCTAACTTTAAGCCTATCTCAGCTTTCGACATGTCTTCCTCACGAAGCTTAATCGTGTTTTGATTTAAAGCGAGAGACATGTGACTCTTCCTTTCACTTAAACACTTTAGAGGCCAATGGAACGTTATTAATTGACCCAATTTCGATATTGTTGTGTCTTGGGGAATAGGGAGGCTTAAGGAGGATGCCAGCCAGCCAAAAGAGAGGTCAAAACACACACACTTATCGTTAAGTTGGCCATCTTATATGGGTACAGTTCATGGCCCCCCAAAACAATGGCAATAGTAATGTCAAAGATCACTGATCACAGGTCACCTTAACAGGTATAATCATAATTTTAAAGTTTGAAATATCACGAGAATTACCCAAACGTGGTACAGAGTCATGAAGTGAGCACTCACCATTAGAAAAATGGCACCGACAGACTCGCTCATTGCTGGGTTGCCGCAAACCTTCAATTCGTAAAAAACGCAGTATCTGCAAAGTGCAATAAAACAAAGTTCCATAAAACAAGATGTGCCTGTATTCAGCCCTGAAATAGACTAGGTGGATCAGATTCCAACTTAAAAGTATTTATTGAGCCTACTGTGTGCAAAGTTCTGGGAACACAGAAGACGCTGATCCCTGCCCTTGAAGAGATCACACTCAGTCTCGTTCCCTGATGTCAACTCATTGTTTGCTGAGCGCCTGTCTTGGGCTCAGTGGGGATGGAAGAAAGAAGAGAAGGGGATCATTTAGCCAGCCTCTGCCACCCAGGGCTTCACAGCCTGTCAAGGAAGAGAGCTATAAACAAACATGGCTCCAAGCCTGGCCATAGTAGCAGTTCTGATAGAAAGTCAAACAGCATCCAAACAGGCACACTTCACAAATTCGCACATTTGCATAGGCTGCTATTTCAATGACTTTCTTTTCCCTGTATACGTGCCAAGATGCAGCAGGAGAAACCGTCCGGGTGCTTCCCAAGCTGGCCAGGGGGCAGGGGGAATGCTGATGGAGAGATCAGACAGGTGAACACGAGGAGGTTCCACAACGTGGACAGTCGAGAGTCGACCCTGAAACCGTCTCTCCTCTGACCTGGCAGCTTTCTCATGACCATTCTTCTCTCTTCTTCCGTCTTCGTCCCTTCTGTGTGCCCCTCCCCAACACCCCCGCCTGCTTCTCCCCACCTCTGTCTGTCTCTGTCCCTCCCTGCCTGGCCCGTGCCGAGGGCAGGCGCCTCTGTCAGCCTCCTCGCAGTGGTAGTGATTGTGTGTGGCGTGGCCCTGGTGGCAGTTTTTCTCTTTCTCTTTTGGAAGCTGTGCTGGATGCCCTGGAGGAACAAGGAGGCCTCCAGTCCCTCTTCTGCTAACCCCACCTTGGAGGCGCTTCAGAGCCCTAGCTCCAGAGGCAACATGGCGGACAAGCTGAAGGACCCCAGCGCCCTGGGCTTCCTGGAGGCGGCTGTGAAGATCAGCCACACGTCCCCAGATATCCCGGCTGAGGTGCAGATGTCGGTCAAGGAGCACATCATGCGTCACACACGGCTGCAGCGACAAACCACAGAGCCAGCGTCCTCCACCAGGTGAGGGCGGACCCCTTCCTTCCCTGACCCCCATTGCATCCACACTCCCTAATTTAACACGCTAATGAGACTCCAGCCTGTGAGGGTCAGAGACCATGTGATTTGAAGCGTGGGACACGTGACTCTTCCTTTGATTGAGAAATATGACATAGATGGTGCGAGCTGTGACAGGCTATCAGGACTTCACAAAAGGGGAGTCTTTGGGACGGGGTGCCGTGCACTTGAGATGTGTGTGGTTGTGGGGGGAGCTGGAGGGTGGGGTAGGGGAGTGTTGTGTGTATTGGGGAAGAAACTCTTCAGGCAGGGAGAAAAGAATATGCAAAGGCCCAGAGGCATAAAAGTTCGGGGTGTGTGTAGGGATACGTCAGTAAAGCTTGCTGGCTAAAGTCTGCGGTGCTGGGAGATCAGGCCAGAGAGTCCTAACAGTTTGAGAATAAGGAAACCTTCCAGAGTTTCCTGCACAGCAGCCGTTTTATCTATGGCATCGTTTAACTGAAAACAGCAACAACAAGAAGCACATGATGACAAAAACCTGCACTAAATTCAGGAACACTTTTTTTTTTTTTTAATTTTTTTTTTAGAGATGAGGTCTTGCTATGTTGCCCAGGCTGACCTCAAACCCCCTAGGCTCAAGCAATCTTTCTGCCTTGGCCTCCTGAAGTTCTGGGATTACAGATGAGAGCCAGCGCACCTGGCTCACGAACACGTTTATTTATTTGTTTGTTTATTTGTTTATTTATGAGTTGGAGTCTCACTCTGTCGCCTAGGCTAGAGTGCAGTGGCACTCATGACCACCCCAGCGTCAAGACTTGCTGGGCTCCGGTGATCCTTCTGTCTCAGCTTTCCAAGTAGCTGGAACTATAGGTGTGCATTATCACGCCCGGCTAATTTTTTTTTTTTTTAATTGTAGAGACAAGTTCTCACCAAGTTGCCTGGACTGGTCGCAAACCCGTGGGCTCAGGCAATCCACTCACCTTGGCCTCCAAACCCAACCCATGAAAACTTTTAAAAGATGGTGGTGTGTCATGCATGAGGCATTTGTTTACTCAGAACTTAAGGTGCTTGTGGATTCCTGGGTCCCTGCAGTGTCTCTCCAGGATGCCAGGGGACCAACCTAGGTGAAGGAGGCCTGGAGGCCTGGTCTATAGACTGGAGGCCAGGCTTGGAAATGCTGAGGGGCACGTGGGTAGAGTTTGTCATATGGCTTCAGGCAAGTTGCTCACCTTCCGTAACCCTCACTTTTCCAACTGTAAAACAGGTGAATGGCTTTTATGAGGGGGAATCAATGAAAGAATTCTGGTGATAACGACAGCTAACACACATGTCGCTTGCGAGATACCTGGCCTTGTTCTAAACAATGTCTATGTATTGATCCATTTCACCCTCACATCAGTCCTATGCAATTGCTACTTTTAATTTATGTGTTTATTCATTTTTTGAGTTGCAGTCTCACTCTGTTGCCCAGACTGGAGTGCAGTAGCATGATCACGGCTCACCGCAGCCTCCAGCTCGTGGGTTCAAGCAATCCTCCTTCCTCAGCCTCCCAAGTAGCTGGGACCACAGGCACGTGCCTCCAAGCCCGACTAATTTCTTGGAATTTTTTTGTAGAGACAGGGTCTTGCTGTGTTGTCCAGGCTGGTCTTAAACTCCTGGTCTTAAGCAATCCTCTTGCCTTGGTCTCCCAAAGCGCTGGGATTACAGGCATGAACCACCACCCCCGGGTACTCTTAAAATCCTCATTTTTATAGCACAGAGAGGTTAAATAACTTGCCCAAGGTCACATAGCTACCAAGTGGCAGAGCCAAAATGAACCTATGCAGTCTGACGCCAAAGCTCATGCTTGTAACCAATCCACTGCCTATCCTATAGCAAATGCTCAATAAATGGCGACGGTAATGGTGATGAAGGGAGTGTCCCATTGAGGGCAAGAAAGGACAGTCCTTCTCCTAACAGCTCTCAAGGTTTAATGAGGGAACCAGGGTCATGTCTACCAGGAAAGAAACCTAGAAAGCGGATAATAGAAAAACAGGAAGAATGATGATAGCAATGGCTGCATTTATTGAGCTTACTATATACCAGGCACTGTGCCAACTACTTTACATGTATTAAGACACAGAATGCTCACCACCACCTTGCACACAAAATGTGTGCAGAGGAAAAGCGGGGTCAAGAGGGAAGAAAGGGAGACTCGGCAAGGGACGGGACGAGCCAGGGCCGCCAGGCTTGTGTCTGCCTGTGCCCCCTGAGCCCTGATTGCCCTCTCCCTGCCCCCTCCTGCCTCTGCCCACCCCAGGCACACGTCCTTCAAGCGCCACCTGCCACGGCAGATGCACGTGTCCAGCGTCGACTACGGCAACGAGCTGCCACCGGCCGCAGAGCAGCCCACCAGCATCGGCCGCATCAAGCCAGAGCTCTACAAGCAGAAGTCAGTGGACGGGGACGACGCCAAGTCTGAGGCCACCAAGAGCTGCGGGAAGATCAACTTCAGCCTACGCTACGACTACGAGAGTGAGACCCTGATCGTACGCATCCTGAAGGCCTTCGACCTCCCTGCCAAGGACTTTTGCGGAAGCTCCGACCCTTATGTCAAGATCTACCTCCTGCCCGACCGCAAGTGCAAGCTGCAGACCCGGGTGCACCGCAAGACCCTGAACCCCACCTTTGACGAGAACTTCCACTTCCCTGTGCCCTACGAGGAGCTGGCTGACCGCAAGCTGCATCTCAGTGTCTTTGACTTCGACCGCTTCTCCCGCCATGACATGATTGGCGAGGTCATCCTGGACAACCTCTTTGAGGCCTCTGACCTGTCCCGGGAAACCTCCATCTGGAAGGACATCCAGTATGCCACGAGTGTGAGTACAGCTTGGCTTCCTTGGCTTCCCGAGGATTTGCAGTTCTGGGCTGGGGGGGGGGTGGCGACAAGTCCTGACACCCTCACTATCTAGAGAGAAAGGGGCCTTTGCCTTTGGGGATATAAAGAAGAAACTGCCCAGTGGCCCAGCCTACCTGGGGGAACCCTGCCTATGTGGATGGGAAGGGAAGGGAATATGTTTCTCTTGCTTCTGATGGCATGCCCTAGGGTGGTTCTTTCTACCTGCTAAGACTCAGGTTGGCCATCTATAAAATTGTATGTCCCTTTGATCATGGGCAGGGATTGGGCCAGGCCCATAGACTGACAGCAGCATCTACTGAGGACAGTGATGTGTATTAGAGGCTTGGAATAGGCAATTGAGAACAGGCTGTGTATCAGTGAGGCTGAGCCAGGCCATGCTGCAGCAACAAACAGTCCCAGGATCTTATGGTTTAAGACAACCGAGGTTTATATCCTGTTCGTGTTACACATGCTTTGCAGCTTGGTTGGGGCCTCTACTCCACCTAGGCCCATCAGAGGCTCCATCTCAATGCAGGCCCCCATGCTAGATATCAGGAAAGAGAGGATGTAGCAAATCGTGCACTCGTTCCTGAAGCTTCCACACAGAAGTGACACATGTCACTTCTACTCACATGTCACCAGTCAAAACAAGACATAAGGCAACTCCTCATATCATAGGGGCAAGGGCAAGGTAATCCTACCAAGAACCCAGAAGGAGAGCAGCAAGTGCCTTGTGAACAGCACGAATGACGACACACAGCAGAGCTCCTTCTGGGTGTTGTCTTCCCAGTGCAGGCTGGGAGATGGCGAGGCCGGCCCAGAAGGAGACCCGGCTCACCCGCACCCGGGGGGTGAATGTTGGACTGGTCACAACCAGCTGGAATTAACCGGGGAAGGTGACCCGGGGCTGCAGCTCAAGCTGGCTTTAAGAGAAGGGAGAGCAGGTTTGGCACGGGGAACTGGAGAAGGCACATCTGGAGCTCTGTGGTCTGGTGTAGATGGCGTGCTGCAATCCGCAGGGTGGAGGAGGCCTCTGGTCACTTCCTGCAGGTGTGGCTGGCATACATCTCTAAGCCCACTCGGGCAGCTGAGAGCCCAGCAGGACGTTTCCACCAAGCCCCTTGCGTGTGGCATCTTGAGAGCTAACTGGTTGAGTGTGTCCCTGGATATTTCCTGCGCTATAGCTCGGTGGCGGGGGAGAGTGAGGTTACTCTGCAGACCTCCCTTTAGATAGTCAAAAGTCAAAGTTTCTGTGTTGGATTTGTGAGGAGACAGGTTGGGAAAATGAGTCCTGCTCTGGTGGGCAAGGGATACAAATCCTGCTCTGTTCAAAGAGAGAAAGCTTGGTGGGCTCCACTTCTGCCCCAGGAGGGGCCTTGGGAACACCCGATTCTCATCGCGAGTGCAGACTTCGACCAGTCCAGCCCGATGTCCCAGTGCCTCCCCCCGCTTTGCTTTCCTGAAATGCCATTGCCAAGAGCAACACACGTAGCCGGCGGCCGGCAGACAGATGGGGCGGGCAGACGGGGCGGATCAGAACAGCAGCTGCGCGCCAGTCCCAGGCCTGGGAGCTCCGCTCTATAAATCACTCTGAGGTCTATATCTGGTGCGATTCTTCCCCCGTGGTCTCCCAAGGCAGTGGCTTCATTGTGGCAACCGCACAGGTAGAGAAAAGCAGCTTGGTCCTCCTCACGGTGAGGCCACAGCCCAGGGAGGGGCGTGAAGGCCAGGGCTGCGGGAAGCAGAGCTCAGCCCAGCCCTCCTGGGAGCCCCCTTTACCCCTGGCCAGAGCCTGGCCCTCCTGTCCGTGTCGGCAGCTCCAGGCATAAGTCCAGCCTCATCCTGGAGTGAGTAGGTGGGGTGTGCCCAAGCACACCCTTACCTGGATGTAGCTTCCCATATCCTAGAACTCTGTGGCTGTCCCTGCCTTTGTCCCCTACCCACTTTCCCAGCCCAGCTACCAAGAAAGGCAAATCAACCAAAGAACACTGGTCCGGCTGGGCTCGGTGGCTCAGCCTGTAATCCCAGCACTTTGGGAGGCAGAGGTAAGTGGATTGCCTGAGCCTGCGGATTCGAGACCCACCCAGGCAATTTGGTGAGACCTTTTATTGTCTCTACAAGAAATAAAAAATTAGCAGGGCATGGTAACGCGTGCCTGTAGTTCCGGCTACTTGGAAGGCTGGGGCAGAAGGATCGCCGGAGCCCAGCAGGTCGAGGCTGCGGTGGCTGGGAGCGGCCACTGCCCTCCAGTCTGGGCGACAGAGGGAGACTCCAACTCAAAAAAAAAAAAAGAACACTGGACAAATCACCATCATTCTCGTCATCCTCAACTAGTATCACTGTAGTCTTCTCCTCTTTCATCTCCTCCTCCTAATCTGATTACAAAGACAAGAAATCCCATGGCTGGGCATGGTGGCTCACACCTGTAATCCCAGTCCTTTGGGAGGCTGAGGCGGGAGGATTGCCTGAGCCCAGGAGTTTGAGTCCAGCCTGGGCAACAGAGCGGGACCTCGTCTCTACAAAGAAATGCAAAAATTAGCCAGGCATGGTGGTGTGCCTCTGTAGTCCCAGCTACTCAGGAGGTCAAGGCTACGGTGAGCCGTGATCATGCCACTGCCCTCAGCCTGGGCGCCAGGGTGAGACGCTGACTTTAGAAAAAGGAAAAGAGTGCCGTGCAGTAGTTGCCAGTGCAAGGCAGCAAATGCTGTCGACTGCTGTGGCTACACAGTCCTTGAAGGTCCTCAGGATGGGGAAACTTCAACTGGGTAGGAAGGACTGGTATCAACAACTGTAGAGGCCAGGAGGAAGGGGGCGCATTCCAGCCAGGAGCAGAGGGCAGCAGGCGCCGGAGTTGCCCGAGCTGCAGAACCGGGGCCATGCTCAGACACCCTGTGTCACTTGCAGTCTGAAGTGAGTGCAATTGAGCCCCCCAGGACCCTCCCCTCCGCAGCTCTCCAGCAGACACGGTCTCAGAGCAGCCTCACCCCCTGGCAGCAAGCACTCAAGCAGAGGCGAGGCAGGGATGCCAGAGGCTGGTGCCGGTGCCTGCTTTGCTGGACCAACTGTAACATTTTGATTATTTGGGGGCCAGGCAGGCTCGAGTCACAGTCCCCGAGGATCAAAGAGCACTCGGTGTATGTGAAATCCCATAAACAGGGGAGTGGGGGATAGCACAGGTGAGCACGGCTGACCAGTTCCAACCCCAGAGCTGCCCCATGGACCTGAGCTCAGGAACACTGGCATGTCCTCTGCCCCAGCCAGGCTGGTCTCTGACAAACATCTGGCATTCCTGCCTCTTGCCTTGGCCCACAAGTTCCCCTAAGCAGGCAGGCCTGGCCCCAGCCTCTCTGCTTGGTGCAAACCAACCTGCTTCTCAGAGTCTTCCATGTTGCCTCCCGGTCTTATAGCAACTGCCCCTCTGTGTCCCCTAGTGATGCACCGAACCGCATTCTGTCTTGTAAAGTCCTCCCAATGGCTCGTGTCCCACGTTTGACTTTCTCCTGTATTTTTCCTCAGGGCTGAACATAGCACATTCTTGTTGAATGACCCAGGGCTTTCTTAATTCAAATACAGCTGTGTATCCATGCCCAAGGAGAGGATTATTAAAGAAGCAGTGAGGGCCAGGTGGGGTTAACCTGGGAAGGCTTCCTGGAGGAGAAGCCCAAGCAGTGTTTTTGAAAATGGGTAGAGCTTGGAGGGGAGAGACCCAGCCTGTGCATTCCCTCAAGTAATGGTTTGTGTCTGGGGTGGCAAAGAGTCAGACCAGGTAGTCTGGACCACAGCAGAGGGTCAGCGAGCTACAGGCTGAGCAGAAGGAAAGGCGCCATGCAAAGGGACTCGGGAGGCTGCTCGGTGGTCACACAATTGCCCTGAATGCTGCCTGCATTGTGCCTCAAGCTTGTATGGAGAGTCAGCTTCAGCCTGGCAGGTGGCACCCTGCGGGTCTCCGGTTCCACCCCTGCCCTGGTGTCTGAGTCGCTTTGAAGTAGCATACCTGAGGCGTTTGTGTGGCTTTCTCACTGAACCCAGAGCTTCAAGGCCAGCAAGGGGAGGCACACATCCGGGGAGTCTGGCTCTTGGCTCACTGCACATCTGAAGCTTCAAGCTCTCGCCTCTCCACCCCTGGCTGTTCCAGAGGAAACCATGGAGACAGCCAGCAGTCGACTGAGGGCCGGGAGGGCACGCCGGGCCTGCAGGGAGACGGAGGCCCCTGGGATTCCCTGGAATTAAGAAACTCAGGCCTGGGGAGACAACTCCAGAGTGCATGGCATCCATTCCAGCCCTGGGCAGGGTTGCCCTGATCTCCCGCTGCCCCTCCTCCCGCCTGGGTTGCCCAAGGGCCCTGGCGGTCTCCCGGGCATTCTCGGGGGTTGCCACTGTCTCTCCAGCCAGAGCGTCTGCTGGCTAAAATTCACCCTGCTGGTCCCTCCCCCCATCTGCCCCGTCTCATTATTTCTATATAAAGCTGTAGATTTATCATGATAATAGAGCCTCCGTCACCGGGTTTGCTAACATCTCTGTAATCTTGTAGTTATTGCTACAGAGGCCTCAGACCCCAGTGCACACAACTATTCCTGGCGCTGTGCCCTCTCCTTCGCTGCGGCAGGAGGTGAAGGCTGTGATTGGGGCCGTGAATACGTGCCGTGCTTGGTGGCGCTCATGGACCTGGCCATCTTCCTGCCTGACCAGGTCCCCGCTCGGTTGGCGTGTGCATGCATGTGTGCGTGTTTGTGAGTGTGTGTGCTGTTTGGGGGGTGTTGGAATGTTCTGTATGCTTCCAGAGACCCTGGACTCAAGGTCTGCAGGGAGGGAGGGAGGCCTTTGGGGTCTCTAGCCTGGGAATGAGCAGAGCTGGGCAGAAAAAGCCAGACCAATTTGTGTTGCGTTCTAGTTTCTGTGCTTTCTAGCTTTGCAACCTTGGGATATTATCTAAAATAGGGCTCAGTTTTTTTTGTTTGTTTGTTTGATTTTTTTTGAGTT